AAAGAGACATAGAGAGAGATGAGCGAGAGAAAGACAAAGTGGTCGCTAAAAGTACATTTTTTTGTAGTGGAGAGCTCGGTAAATCGAGAAGAGATGAGAGAGTGAGTGAGCAAGGTGAACATAATAGGAGAGACAGACAGACAGACACAGAGAGAGAAAGAAAGAGAGAGAAGAGTAAGAGACAGACAGATTGACACAGAGAGAGAAAAAGAGAGAAAAGAAGAGAGAGAGACAAAGAGAGAAAGAGATAGAGAGTGAGAGTCAGAAAAAGAGACAGAGAGAGAGGAGAGATGAACGAGATAGACAGAGAGAGAGATAGAGAGATGAGCGAGAGAGACATAAAGAGAAGAGAGGTGAACGAGAGAGAGATAGAAATAAGAGAGATGAGCAATAGAGACAGAGAGAAAAGAGAGATGAGAGAGAGCGAGAGAAGAGAGATGAGCAAGAGAGATAGAGACAAGAGAGCTAAACGAAAGAGACAGAGAAAGAAAAGAGATGAGAGAAGAGAAGAGATAGATGAGTGAGAGACACAGAAAGAGAGAGATAGACAGACAGATAGACAGAGAAGAGTGATGAGTAAGAGAGAGAAAGAGCGAAAAGAGATAAACGAGAGAGATACAGAGAGAGATGAGCGAGAGAGATAAAGAGAAGAGAGACAGAGAAAGATAGAGAAAATAGAGATGAGCAAGAGACACAGAGAGAGAGATTGAAAGATAGAGAAGAGTGATGCATGAGAGAGAGAAAGAAAAGAGAGATAGAGACAAAAATAGAGACAGAGACAAAAATAGAGACACAGAGAGAGACAGACAGACAAAGAAGAGTGATGAATGAGAGAGAGAAAGAGAAGAGAGACAGAGATAGAGACACAGAGAGAAAGAGAGAGACAGATAAATAGAAAGAGAGAGAAAGAGTGATGAGTGAAAGTAAATTTTTATTTTTTTTTCAACGACGAAAGCATTTTAGTTGCCAAAACTATATATACGGCGACCAAAATATTTTTTAGTCGCTGAAATTAAAGTTTTGCTGACCAAACTTTTGGTCGCGAAAGATAAAAAATAAAATTTTCTTTTTCTTTCAGCGACGAAATTATTTTAGTTGCCAAAACTATACATACAGCGACCAAAATGTCTTTTAGTCGCTGAAATTAAATTTTTGCCGACCAAACTTTTGGTCGCGAAAGATAAAAAATAAATTTTTATTTTTCTTTCAGCGACTAAATTTTTTTAGTTGCCAAAACTATATATACAGCGACCAAAATGTCTTTTAGTCCCTGAAATTAAATTTTTGCCGACCAAGCTTTTGGTCGCGAAAGATAAAAAAATAAATTTTTATTTTTCTTTCAGCGACGAAATTATTTTAGTTGCCAAAACTATACATACAGCGACCAAAATATATTTTAGTCGCTGAAATTAAAGTTTTGCCTACCAAACTTTTGGTCGCGAAAGATAAAAAATAAATTTTTATTTTTCTTTCAGCGACTAAATTTTTTTAGTTGCCAAAACTATATATATAGCGACCAAAATTTTTTTTAGTCGCTGAAGTTAATGTTTTGCCGACCAAACTTTTGGTCGCGAAAGACAAAAAATAAATTTTTATTTTTCTTTCAGCGACTAAATTATTTTAGTTGCCAAAACTATATATACAACGACCAAAATATTTTTTAGTCGCTGAAATTAAAGTTTTGCCGACCAAACTTTTGGTTGCCAAAGATAAAAAGTAAATTTTTCTTTTTCTTTCAGCGACTAAATTATTTTAGTTGCCAAAACTAAATATATAGCGACAAAAATATTTTTTTAGTCGCCAATTGTGGCAAATTTAGCGACTAAATTTTTTTTAGTCGCCAATTGTGAGATTTTTAGCGACTAAATTTTTTTTTAGCCACCAAAAATTAATATGCCCCGACCAAAAAAATTTAGTAGCTAAATATTGTACTTTTACCAACTAACATAATTTTTGGTCGCCAATTCCACAACTTTTGGCAACCAAAATATTTTTAGTCGGCAAAAGTGGTTGCCAATTGTGTATTTTCTTGTAGTGATATATGAACGATAGGTCATGGAGTTTGGTACACCATCATCACCGATGTTTACCATTTTCACCACGCTTGTAATGCTTAACCTATTCAGTTTTGTTTGGGTCTTGATTAGGATGGTTATAGATGTGCAAATTAATGTTTTGGAAGCATTGGCGTTGCAGATTATTTTATGTGGTCTCATTGTTTTGATCAACCTACCGGTATATCAAGGACTCTTCTTTCGAGAGGACAATGGAAAAATGGCCACCTCTGTTGCATACAAGTCAATCAAATTTAGCTCTATTGGCTTGTTCGATAGTATTGTATTAGTTAACCATCCTAGAGAAAGATATATATTTGATGGTGGTATGAGAAGTGTATGGTTTGCCATGGATGAGAAAGAAATAAGAGAAGAAGAAGAAGAGCAAAAGAATACAATGAGAGAAGAAGAAGAAAAGAAAAAGAATACATAAAAATTAAAAAAAAGTTGGGAGAGAAATATTTTGGTTTATAATGGCATTAAGAAGAAAATTAGAAAAAGAAGTAAGGGTAATTTAGACTTTTTATAACTTCTGTTACGTCCATCCAAAATTGCACTTTGGTATAAAATTCAGGGGTTTAAGTGTTACAAATGAAATTATAAAAAAGTTCCGTGTTTTTTAGATAAACCACAGGGGGTTAAATTATAATTTACTCTATTAAATAACAATAATTACATGGGATGACAATGACTAAGCAAATAAAAATAATTAAAATAAATTCTAATTTAAAATTTGTGATCACATTCACCAATGTTAAAATAAATGCAACCTGTAAATTAGAAGGATGTGGTTGAGGTATATATTACTGTACCCCATCCCCGAAGAAAAATGAGAACAAAAACAAAACATACACCTACACGTTGGAAATTGATTTTTTTAGTAATATTTTTTATTTTTTCTTCGTAGATAGTATTATTTTGTTCTGAAAATAATTTTGCATGGCCAATAGTACACAATAATTGAAGTCATCTCAAGCTTAACTAATCTAAACTTGTATTTTACTGCCAACTTGAAAGCCCACGTTGTGAGAGACGAACCACTTTGAATAAATAAAATAAAAAATAATAGTAAAATTCAAGCTTAATTATCTAAAAATTATTGAAAATTATCATCTACTAATTTATATTTATTCTATACATAAATTTTACACTACAAAAATTTAATTTTAACTACGCATCGTCATTCTGGAAACCATAAGTCTGATTTCATTCGAAATAAAAATACTAAACTGGGAGAATTTTTTTTTTTTTTATGGAATTTTATTATACAATAAAATATCAAGCATTCTTTCTATTGTTCTCTTTCATAAGTGGTTAAATTTTAACACATTTTCCAACGAGTGAACAATTTTTTACTATTTTTTATGTGTCCACATCCAATGTGTTTATCTATACGGGGAATGCTTCTCTCCGTTCAAATCAAACTAGAGAGTGTTGTTTGGTTCTTATGAATCCACAATAAAGTTTATATTGATGTTCTAAATCCTTAAATATATAAGGCGAGTTGAGTATTTTATTGTTGTAAAAAATAATTTTAATCGGATATTAATAAACGTATGATGAGATCACATTTATTAACAGTAAGTTTGATTTATAAAATAGATTGATTATATAAATGTGATCTGATTAAATAATTATGAATATCTGATCACATATTTTTTTACAAAGATGAAATAATCAAGGAGTCCAACATAGTAAGGCTAAGTTTGGCTATCCTAAATAAGTATACACTTTTTATCTTTTTATCTTTTTTTCATCACATCATCTTTCTACTTTTCTACATATCTTTTCGTAAAAAGACAAAAAATACACTTATTTAGGTCATTCCAAACAACCCCTAAATGGTTCAGATTATTGATGCGATATTCATAATAGACTTACAAAAATCCAACAACACTCTCTAATTAGTCCCAACAGGAGTGGAGCCTCTCCCTAATCTATATATTTCGTAAGTATAAACTTTTAAAAGTAGGGCAAATTACATATACCTCCCTCGAGATTTAGTTAAATTACAGATATTTCTTGAAGTTTCGAAAATTACAGATACCCCCTGAGGTTTATATTTTCATAACAAATTGTCCCATGAGATTTATATTTTTATAACAATTTACCCCATAATTTGTTATACAAATAGTACCTTCAGGAAGTATTTATAATTTCTCAAACTTTAGGAATATCTATAATTTTGCTAAATCTCAAGAGATATATGTAATTTATCCTTAAAAGTAATAAAACATTTAATGCGTCAACTAAAAAAAAGCCAACTTGTTTAACAAACTTAAAAAAACCAACCGATGTAGTCTATTGGCGTAAGAATAATGCTTGGGACTTCCTTTTGGGGGTAATCCCCTCACCCCCTTTGCCACGTGGCGGGTGATGATTGGAGGAGTAGGAAAAAAAAGAAAAAGAAAAAGAAAATGTAACCAATGAGAGAGAGAGGGGGTCAAAGGGGGTGGGGAGAAAAGGGGGATGAATCATTGTTGATTGGCGTAATTGTATAGTTTTTTTCTTTTTTTTTATTGGCCAAGTACATTTCTACGTCATTAAAAGGTTATAAGATTCTCTCCATCTATGTATATCCTGAATGTTGGTATTCAGTATCTACAACCTCATCCTGAATTGGCATGGAGTTCTCAAGGTTCTTTGATACTTTGTTAGTGTGCATCACATTTTTACTATGAAAATAGAATGAATTTAAGGAAGCTGATTATAGAAGAATAAAATCTTGCACTTTTTATGTTTTTTGTTAGCACAGCCAAAAAACCAGGCAAATCTTCCAGTTGCATACTCATGCAGAGCAGCATTAGGGTACATAGACATCCATGTGCATGCATGCATATCAGTGTGAATCTATTAGAAATGGACCTATGTATTATTTTACTCCCAGACTTGAATTCCTGAATGTTTATGGGAAGTTTGTGACATTTTTATTTTATTTTATCCCAGTTTCCGCAATCTTCTGGGCAAGATCACCATTCAAGAACCTACCTTTGACAGGATAATTGTTGTTTACAGGTACTAGCTTTCATTTTCCAATTTAAAATCTTGTTTCGATCAGTGTTTTAGATGTTTTTGTTGAAAAAGATCTTCTATTCACCACCAATTTTGGAAGTTATTTTTTGCTACCAAGTTGAGCATATATGATGTTTTGTTATACAATGTTTGAAAAGTGCATCCACCTTCAAAATTCCACTGCCACTTTACATATGGGGAAATTAGGGCACTTGAGAAGGGATTAATTGTACATTGGGAAACCATCCATTGATTATTGTCATGGATTTGTTATTTCTAACAACCATGATGACCATGCAGGCGAGCAAGTACAAATGGAACAGGACGAGGAATATTTGTGAAGCATTTCAAAAACATTCCAATGGCTGATATGGAAATTGTCCTCGTAAGTTTTTGGCTGCTCTGACTGTGTTTTTGGCTGCTCTGACTGTCTCTTTCTCTTTCAGTGATATTTTAACTTTTCTAAAACCTTGTACCCACTTATTAATGTATGAACTCGTGAACTTCTACTCATTAACAGCCAGAAAAGAAAAATCCAGGTTTAACGCCAATGGATTGGGTCATATTTCTTGGTTCTGCTATTGTTGGACTGGTTAGTTATCTGATATATATTGAACTTGTTTCCTACTCATACTTTATCCATTTTGTTTTGATAAACATACCATGTTCTTCTACAGGTTGCAGTTGTGGGTTCGCTCGACATGCCTAAAGCTGATCTTTGGGTCATATTTGCCATCCTTTCAACTGTGATTGGTTACTGTGCTAAGACATACTTCACGTAAAGTGTTTGCAGTATTTGATTTTGATTCATGTGGATGTGTTGTTCATTGAGCAAACGTGCATGTTGTCTGCGTGATCTACCATGTGAAGGATCTGCTTGAGAATTGTCTTATATAACAAGTTGATCTGGTCAAATGCATATTTAGTTTTCTATATATTTAATATTCTTTCCACCTTACTGCTATAGTGGACTAGTGAGTCAGATCAGGGAAACTCCTGATGTAGGATTTCTTCTTGGTTGGAGCCACTGCTTCATGCATTGGGCTTGGAGCTGTGATTGCATGTGCTCTGTACATGCCACAAGCAACCTGTATTTACATAATAATCATGATTTTTCCTTTGTTATTGCTTTGTTCTTCGTCCTTTAAAGTCTGTTGATCTCATAGGTATTAATTTACCAAATGTTTCAACTGCCTGTAGGTTTCAGCAAAATATGGCTACATATCAGAACTTAATTACTCAGTCCATGTATGACAAACAACTGGATAGTGGAAAGGGCACTCTTCTTCACTTATGTGATGATGTGATTCAACAGGAAGTAAGTTGCTAGCTAGAAATTTGCTTCTTTTTTTTTTTTTTTTCCTCCCCCTACTTGAAGAATTGACAACAATGACCTTTTTATTCTCCTTTCTCTTATGTGTCTTCTTTTTCTCTCTTTCTTCTCTCATCTACCATAGCATCACCACTAGCCAAAATCATTATAGATACCACCTGAAACCACACCATTAGTCAAAACACAACTGCTGTACCGCTACCACCACTTGAAACCGCCATGACCACCCACCACCAGATTGTAGAAATTTAATGTATAAAGAGAAATAGAGAGAATTAATTATGTATAGAGAAATAGAGAGAATTGTATTATTGATTGATATATATTGATTGTTATTTTTGTATATATTACAAATCAGAGTGGCTCATTATATAGGAGAGGGTTTGGGTAGTAGGTGAGGAGTAGGTGAGGGTAAATGGGTGGTAGGTGTAGTAGGTGTGGTAGTAGGTGGTGGTAGGTGTAGGTAGGTTATGGTAAATTCTAACAATTATTTTATGTGGTCTCATTATTTTGATCAACCTGCTGGTATATCAAGGACTCTTCTTTCAAGAGGACAATGGAAAAATGGCCACCTCTGTTGCATACAAGTCAATCAGATTTAGCTCTATTGGCTTGTTCGATAGTATTGTATTAGTTTACCATCCTAGAGAAAGATATATATTTGATGGTGGTATGAGAAGTGTATGGTTTGCCATGGATGAGAAAGAAATAAGAGAAGAAGAAGAGCAAAAGAATACAATGAGAGAAGAAGAGGAAAAGAAAAAGAATACATAAAAATTAAAAAAAAACTGGGAGAGAAATGTTTTGGTTTATAATGGCATTAAGAAGAAAATTAGAGAAAGAAGTAAGGGTAATTTAGACTTTTTATAACTTCTGTTACGTCCATCCAAAATTGCACTTTGGTATAAAGTTCAGGGATTTAAGTGTTACAAATGAAATTATAGGGAAGCTCCGTATTTTTTAAATAAACCACAAGGGGTTAAATTATAATTTACCCTATTAAATAACAATAATTACATGGTATGATAATGACTAAGCAAATAAAAATAATTAAAATAAATTCTAATTTAAAATTTGTGATCACATTCACCAATGTTAAAATAAATGCAACTTGTAAATTAGAAGGATGTGGTTGAGGTATATATTACAGTACCCCATCCCGGAAGAAAAATGAGAACAAAAACAAAACATACACCTACACGTTGGAAATTGATTTCTTTAGTAATATTTTTTATTTTTTATTTTTTATAAAAAGATATATAAAAAAATAGATAAAATAATTTTTTTTTTTTTGTAATGACTGTTTAACTTTTTAACTAAAATAATAACTTTCGAAAATCGAAAGTGAAAAAAAGTTAAAAGTTAACATTTTTTTTTTGAATTACGTGTTAAAAAAGTGAATCAATTTTTTATTTTCATTTTACCAGCATATAATCTATTGATTTGTTCTGTGCAATATTTTTGCAATTTTCTTCGTAGATAGTATTATTTTGTTTTGAAAATAATTTTGGAAAAAAGCTTTGGACCCCCAGTGGGGGTACTGGGGGTCCTTTCCCATTGGTCCAAAAAAACAATTTTTTTTTTTTTTTTTTTTTTGAGTTTCCAGCCACCCCAGGCCGACACGTGGCACTGGGGGTCACTGGGGGTCACCCCAACTGGGGGTCTGTAGCATTACTGATAATTTTGCATGGCCAATAGTACACAACAATTGAAGTCATCTCAAGCTTAACTAATCTAAACTTGTATTTTACTGCCAACTTGAAAGCCCACGTTGTGAGAGACGAACCACTTTGAATAAATAAAATAAAAAATAATTGTAAAATTCAAACTTAATAATCTAAAAATTATTGAAAATTATCATCCAATAATTTATATTTATTCTATACATAAATTTTACACTACAAAAATTTAATTTTAACTACGCATCGTCATTCTGGATAAGTCGGGAAACCATAAGTCTGATTTTATTCGAAATAAAAATACTAGACTGGGAGAAATTTTTTTTTTTTTTATGGAATTTTATTATACAATAAAATATCAAGCATTCTTTGTATTGTTCTCTTTCATAAGTGGTTAAATTTTAACACATTTTCCAACGAGTGAACAAATTTTTACTATTTTTTATGTGTCCACCTCCAATGTGTATGTTTATCTACACGGGGAATGCTTCTCTCCGTTCAAATCAAACTAGAGAGTGTTGTTTGGTTTTTATGAATCCACAATAAAGTTTATATTGATATTCTAAATCCTTAAATATATAAGGCGAGTTGAGTATTTTATCGTTGCAAAAAATAATTTTAATCGGATATTAATAAACGTATGATGAGATCACATTTATTAACAGTAAGTTTGATTTATAAAATAGATTGATTATATAAATGTGATCTGATTAAATAATTATGAATATCTGATCACATATTTTTTTACAAAGATGAAATAATCAAGGAGTCCAACATAGTAAGGCTAAGTTTGGCTATCCTAAATAAGTATACACTTTTTATCTTTTTATCTTTTTTTCATCACATCATCTTTCTACTTTTCTACATATCTTTTCGTAAAAAGACAAAAAATACACTTATTTAGGTCATTCCAAACAACCCCTAAATGGTTCAGATTATTGATGCGATATTCATAATAGACTTACAAAAATCCAACAACACTCTCTAATTAGTCCCAACAGGAGTGGAGCCTCTCCCTAATCTATATATTTCGTAAGTATAAACTTTTAAAGTAGGGCAAATTATATATACCTCCCTCGAGATTTAGTTAAATTACAGATATTTTCTGAGGTTTCGAAAATTACAGATACCCCCTGAGGTTTATATTTTCATAACAAATTGTCCTATGAGATTTATATTTTTATAACAATTTACCCCCTAATTTGTTATACAAAATAGTACCTTCAGGAAGTATTTATAATTTCTCAAACCTTAGGAATATCTATAATTTTGCTAAATCTCGAGAGATATATGTAATTTATCCTTAAAAGTAATAAAACATTTAATGCGTCAACTAAAAAAAAGCCAACTTGTTCAACAAACTTAAAAAAACCAACCGATGTAGTCTATTGGCGTAAGAATAATGCTTGGGACCTCTTTTTAGGGGTCACTCTCTTACTCCCTTTGTCACGTGGCGGGTGATGATTGGAGGAGCAGGAAAAAAAAAAAGAAAAAAAAAATGTAACCAATGAGAGAGAGAGGAAGTCAAAGGGGATGGAGAGAAAAGAGAGATGAATCATTGTTGATTGGCGTAATTGTATAGTTTTTTTCTTTTTTTTTATTGGCCAAGTACATTTCTACGTCATTAAAAGGTTATAAGATTCTCTCCATCTATGTATATTTTTCCTATTGGCCAAGGGCGTTTATATATCTATATGCATTTAGGGTCATACTTCAGGTCAGGCCAGATTTAGACCTAGTCAGCACTATAAAATAAATTGTTAAAATCCGGTTTCACCTTAATATTGGGTCTTTACATTCCAAGTCCAGCTCAAAAAAAAAATATATATATATATATAAATCGCAGTCCATTCATCAGGTTATATGTTAAAAAAATTAAAATATTTTATAATTAAATTCAATAATATGTTATATTTTTTAAATAAATATATTGATATCACTATAAACTGAAAAAATTTATATATAAATTAAAAGATTTTTTGAATAAATTCAGTTACATATCACCACAAATGTAAATTTTAATAAAATCAACAAAAATAAGCAAAAATTATATATTTTAATATTTTATAATTAATTAATTTAATAGTGGGTCAAGCCGAGCCGAGCCGAGTTAAAAACATAAATCTCAAACCCAACCCATTAATATATCGGGTTAAAAATGTTAGCCTAATTCGGCCCTATGGGCTAAAACATTCTAAGCCCTAAAAAATTAGGACTAGTCTGGGCGGACCGAGTGGGCCAACGGGCCGATGCCCACCCCTATTGATGCCCACCCCTATTAATGCACCTACACAAAATGTATAAATTTATCATAAAATTTCATAATATCAACCACAAAATACATAACTCCCACAAAATACATAACTCGTTATAAATTGACGTAACAAAAAATGTCATAATCAAGCTACAAAATTTTGGACATTATGTTATGTCAGCGAGAATTTTGTGATTGATATTATAAAATTATGTGATAAAATTATACATTTTTTGGATAGGTATATATGGTATGCACACCTTTCCCAAAATAGTAAGAGACAGTTACAAATACAGAAAATGTACCCTCAAAAAAATCACAAAAAAATAAAATGAATGGTGCAAATTTAAAAGGAAAAATAGTAATCAATGCAAAAGATTAAAAATAATTACAAATACATGAGATGTATCATTGTCTTGTAATTTCCTAAAAATAAAAAATAAAAAAAAAAATTAAACAAGAGTATCCCGCCCATCCTAGCCCAATTAGGCCCAAGTAACTTCGGGTCTGAACAACCAAGAACTAATCACTAGATGTCTTCGAATTAACAACTAAACGAATTTTCAATGGCCCTTTTTAGATTTTGTTCTTGAATCTTTACTGTTCAATCAACTTATTATAGCCTGGGAATGACTTGTCTTCAGTTAAGATTTCAACTGAATTAGACAGTTGAGGTTGCTGACCAAGAAGATTTATTAGATGAGAGATTCTGACAAGAAATAATCATTAAATGGAAGACTCTTCTTTGAAAAAATTCAACTAGCCATGCTTTCATAAACTCTTACCAATAAGAATCTTCCGTTTAATGATTCTTCCTAATCAGAGACCTCAACTGTCTGGGTCAGTTCACCTTTCAACTGAAGACAAGCCAAATCCTCATAATTTCTCTAATATAAAATAGTGTCAGTTTGGAAACAAGTTTGGGTGCCAGTTTGCTTAGGATGTGTTTGGTTCATAAATTTGATGAGGGATTTATAAAAAGAAAGTAAAAATGTGTGTAAAATGCAAATAAAATGTAGTTATACTTCATTTACATTTCACATATTTTTTTCCTTAAGATCCATCACTAGGAAGTCAGTAGTTCAAAACATCCCACCTGTGTGTGGGTCTTATTCCCCGTGTATTAATTAGGACTTTCTTTCTCATTTTGGGAGTTTCTTTGTAAAAATTTATATTGTATTTGATCTTCACTACTATGATTGTAATTCATTGGCTTTCATTGTAATATCTTAGATAAATCAAATCTAAAAATAAGAGCAAAAGGGTCCATCACAATTTTTTGTTTTTTTATCTGCAAAAGAAATAAAACTTTATTAATGAATCACAAGCATATAAATATGATGACATACATCAATAAAGAGGGGAGGGGGCAAGTACAAAAAAATCATAGCATAACATAATCATCACAACTATGTCAGTACTAAAATACACATTCAATTATATGCTAACACCAAGTTTGGTGATGAGCCAAACAAAATACCCGGAGTAAGGAAAAGAACAAAAGAAAATCTTGAATACACCCAAAAATTCACACCAAATCCAGTCCACCTTAGCAACAGAAGAAAAGAAAAATTCTAGCCCACTTCAGTAGCAAAGATAAAGGTCCGTTACAACTTCACTCAGCATTTAAATAAATTCAGCATCTACAAGACATTCCTCTCTTCAACATCACCGATAAATGGTTAAATTCCAAAGATAGGGGCTTCCCTCCAGTCTCATATCAGATTAGAGGATATTATTGGACCCGTGAGAGTCTATCACGGATTCCGTTTCGATAATCTGAACCATTCAATGTGTAGAACTCATCAAATACTATTTGGCTGTAAAAAATCACGTTGATCGGATATCGATAGTTGTCTCATCAGATCAGTTTTCTGTCAACCATTTATTTTTTAATCATCTATTTTTTTTTTATTATACAAAATTGGTTTGATCATGTAACTATCGATATCTAATCAGCGTGATTGTTTATAGCCATATAGTAGTCGATGAGTTGTACACATTGAACAGTTCGAATTATCGAAACGGGACCCGTGGTGGGCTTCCAGAGACCCAACAGCACCCTCTAATCCGATCTGGGACTGGAGGGAAGCCGAGCCCAATTCGAAAACCATCATTTTCAAATGCCTAATTGTGAAAGCTACTATATAATGTTATACATATGTCTTCTTATACTCTTATTATTTATTATTATTATTATTTTAATTCTTTGGTGTGTTTTCTTTTTATTTTTTTTTAATCACAAGTTGGCCAAATCAATTGTCATAAAATGTGACCAACACAGATGGATGTAACCTATGTATTTATCTCAGACTTATTCTATTGTCAAACTCTTATGATCGACTCTTGCTTTGTAGTACAAATTTAATGTTGTGGATATATATGTATAATTTCTCCTCGGTGCTTCATTTGAGGATTTTTTTTTTTAATTAGAATTTTTCCTTAATTTGGTATAAGCTGCTTGCTGATCTTCTTGTAAGTGTCGTTTGACTAATCTTACCTTAATGAAAATTACTATTGATATTAAAAAAAAAAAAATGCAACCCACTAGGTAAATAAACAATATAATACATTGATATTCTTCTGGTTTTACAAGATGCCAATTATGTCAACGTGGTTAATTCCAATCATATCCAATACATTGTTTATTTTTTCAGTGTATCTATAGTCTCACAATTATAGCATTACAATGGCATACATCAATAAATAAAGAGGGGAGCAAGTGCAAAAATATCATAACATAACATAACTACCGCGACTATGTTAGCACTGAAATATATGCTCAATTATATGCTAACACTGGAGCCAATCAAAATACAAGGAGCAAGGAAAGAACAAAGAAAATCTTAAATGCACCCAAAAATTCACACCAAATCCAGCCCACCTTAGCAACAAAATAAAAGAAAAATTCCAGCCCACCTCAGTAGCAAACATAAAGGTCCATCACAACTCACTCAGCATTTAAATAAATTCAGCATCTACAAGTCATTCCTCTCTTCAACATCCACGACAACATATAAAATTTTTAAAAATCAAATATTTTGGTATTTAAAAATAAAAATTATATTGCAAAAAACATTTAGGAATTAATTTCCATCATCATGAAGATAGTCATTAAAAGATCGTCTTGAAAAGTCAAAAATAAAGCTTTTAGCGACAAAATTTTGAAAATGCCACTAATAAATAAACTTTAGGGACAAAATAATTTAGTCACAAAATAGTTTATTTTTTGAAACAAAAAAGGATAATAATTCATCACTAATATCCAATTTTTATTGCCAAAATTATAATGATACTTTTCGCAACAAAAATATTTAGGCCCTAAAAAATAATTTTATCCTTAAATTTTGATCTTTAAAATTTTAATTTTTTGAGTCATCATCCATAAATGGTTAAATTCCAAAACCATCAATTTTAAATGCCTAATTCTGAAAGCTACTATATTATATTACACATACCTCTTCGCACTCTTATTATTTATTATTATTATTTTAATTCTTTGGTGTGCTTTCATTTTCATGTTTTTTTAATCATAAGTAGGCCAAATCAACTGTCATAGAATGCGACGGACACAGATGGATGTCACTTATATATTTATCTTAGACTTATTCTATTGTCGAACTCCTATGATCGATCTCTACTTCATAGTATGAATTTTATGTTTTAACATATGTATAATTTCTCCTTGGTGGTTCATTTGAGGATTTTTCATTTATTTTTTAATTAGAATTTTTTAGTTTGGTGTAAGTTTCTTATTGATATCCTTATAAGTGTCGTTTGGCTAATCTTATTTTAATAGAAATTATTATTGATCAAAAACCAAAAATGCGACCACTATGTAAATAAACAACATAATAAATTGATATTCTCCTGGTTTTACAAGATGCTAGTTATGACAATTTGGTTAATTCCAATAGTATCAAATACATTCTTTATGTTTTCAGGGTATCAATAGTCTCACAATTCAGAACAGCTGTTTAAAAAAATTAAATATATATGAAAAATCAAATGATCAATTTAATGGGGAATGAACCCTTTCAAGTTAGATGTCAACTCTACACACTTTAAAAAAAAGTAAATACACTGTTTTACTCCTTAATTTCAGCCTAGTTCATAAAATGGCATTATTAATTAGACTAATTTTTTATAAAAAAAAATGAAAAATTCAAAAGTAAAATAGATGCAATTACAAAAACTAAATTAACACAAGAGACAAGCTACAACAACAATACAACAACTGGCCTAATTTATATGAAAAAATATATATATATATATATATATATATATTCGGTAAATTACACTTTTCTCCAGTATAGTTTAATCTACTTTGGTCCCTATTGTTTCAATTTGAACACTTTAGTCCTTGTACTTTAAATCTACTTTTAATTTGATCCTATTCAAGTTGGAGGTTCAAATTAACAATTCTGGAACACTTCTCTGTCTCCAAGGCATACATGTAAAAAAATTTAATAGAAATTTGAAAGGAGTAACTAAATTAAAATTAAATTTAGAAAAAATATTAGGAATCTCAAATCTTTTATTAATATTTCTATCAAATATTTCAAATGGGTGTGAGTCCCACACCATGTGGGTTCCATACCTATATGAGATATTTAGTAAAAATCTTGATAAAATATTTGGGATCCTAGAGACCAAAATGCTCAATTTAAAATAATAGAGATAGAAGTGAAATTGGGTCAAACTATACAGGTAAAAGTGTAATTTCGTTTTTTTGCCTTTTTTTTAATCTTGTTGACCAGACCCCTCAGTGCTATTATTGTTGATGATCAATTGAGAAATGCCAAATTCTCTCCTAACATTTTTGTAGATGCCATTGTTAATAAGACGAGAGAAAAGACTTCTAAATTGTATACATACAAATACAGCTTAGCCAGAGAATTATTGCAACTGAGTGAAAAAAAACAAACCAAAATGGTTACACAAAGCATTCCAACTGTTGATCTCTCTCCCTTCTGCCATGAAAATGGCGGTGACGAGGCTGTGAAGAAGAGAGCCATAGAGGAAGTTGGCAGAGCCTGCTCTGAATATGGCTTTTTCCAAGTTGTGAACCATGGTGTGCCCTTAGGTCTGTTGGCTCGTGCCCTTGAACTGTCCCAGTTATTTTTCGATTACCCATTGGAAGAGAAGCTCAAAGCCAGTCCCATTCCAGGAGCACCACTTTCTTTGGGATATACCAAGCAGATTGAGCACTTGACTGATAATAACGAGTACATACTCATGTTCACACCTGAGTCAAGCTTCAATGTCTACCCTGAAAATCCCCCTGAATACGGGTATTTTTTACTACTTACAAGTGATTTTTTTTAGGAAAATGATTTTCCTCCCGAATTTTTCTCCCCCGAATCCCTTGACTGCTCAAAACGACGTCGTTTTGGGCAATTTTCTTTTTTTCTTTTTTTCTTTCCTCATTTATGTCTGAAACTCAGAGAGAAGAAGAGGAAGAGGAAGAGAAAGAGAGAAAGAGAAGAGAGGAGAAGAGGGAATGGAGAGAGAGAGAGAGAGGGTCGCCGTCGATTGCCATCGCCGCCGGCCTCCGCCTCCGCCTCCACCTCCGATTTTTCAGCCCGTTTTTTTTTTTTTTTCCGATCGGCCATTTTGCCATTTTTTTTTCTTTAGATCAATGCGTTGATGATGATGATGGTGATGTTGTTGTTGATGATGAAGATGTTCTGGATCTGAAATACTCTCTTCTTCTCTTCTTCCTTCTTCTTCTTCTTTCTTCTTCCTTCTTCTGCGTTGTTGAAAAAAAAAAAATCAAAATAACGAAACGACATCGTTTTGAATTCGGGGGATTTGGGAAAACAAGGATTCGAGTTACGTAGCATGATTTTTTTTTTTATCAGATCCGCTATGTAGCTTGAATTAGCCTCCCCCGAATGGCTCGAATGAGTTGGAATCTATTATTGTAGGGTTTGATCCATTTGCCCCAAGTCAGCGTGAAACCCACGCGTTTACAAAACAAAGAAACGTAAGAGAGAGGAGAGAGGAGAGAGAAGAGAGAGCGAGAGAGAGGACCATGAAGTTGAATGTGAGAACAGAGATGTGTTGCCTCTGAAGTCGAGCGACCGACCATGGTGTTCACCGTCGACCAATGACCGTCGACCACTGTCCACCACTCTCTCTCTCTCTCTCTCTCTCTCTCTCTCTCGATTAGCGACCTTGTTGTTGTTATTGGGGACCTTGCTATTTTCATTCCTCTTTGTTTCTTTTTTATTCTCTTTCTTCTCCAATCAGGTAAACTTAAAGAAAACGCAAAATAAATTTCTGATCCCGCTTTGTCTTTCAATTAGCTCACAATTAGTTCTGATTTCTTTGAATATATTTATGGGTTTGTGTGATTTTGCTTGTATATGTGTTGGGTATGATGGGTTTGTGATGAGTACAACTTTAATTTACTGCTGCTATTTCATATTGATGCCATAATCATATTATTTTTTCTTTCTTCTATTCTTAAGTTGAATTTTTTTTTTCTTGATTTTTTCTGAGATTGAAAGGAATGCATCTTGGAGAAAGAGGTTCACATGCGCAAACATGGCTACATATAATTGAGCATCTTGCATCTTGCAAATAGTTCTGCAAATAATTGAGCATCTTGCATTTATTTGAATGCATCTTGTAGAACTATTTTGAAGGGGATGAGAAAGAGGGATAAAAGAGTGTATTTTGAAGAGAGGAGAGAGAGAACAATTATCACAACTTTCTTGGGTCTGGTCTGAGAGAGATAGAGAGGAGAGAGAAAAACATGCGCGTGTTTTATTTTGGAGAGAGAATGGTTGCCAATGCCTTCCATCAAATTCGGGCGATTTGAGCTCCAAATTTCGAGCTATCAATCTTTTTTCTTTTTTTATTTATTTATTCATTTTTTTGTTACCATATTTAATTTCAGTTTGATAACTCCAAACTTTTTGGCATAGAGTAAATTGTGTTATGAAATGGGGGTATTTGAAAAGTCGGGGTGGTGGCTTTTTTGGGTAATTCTATTTCTACACAACAATTTTTCTCAGTTTACACATGTAATGAAAATTTTTATTAATACAATTTTGTTCTAGAATAAAAATATTTTAATACCGTCATCTTCTTCTACTCAAATCATAATTCTAAAATATCACAATCATTTTCTATCGCCAGCGCTACCTCTCTCATCTGTCATCCCCTCTCATCACCTCTTTTCCTTTTCGCCTGCGATTACTTTCCGCCATGAACCATACACTCCCACAAGTCTTCCACTGCGAATCACTTAAGGTTAATTGTAAAAGTCTAGGATGGAGGGAGATGAGCTAGAGTGGTGGCGGTGGTGGCGATAGAGGGTTGAAAGTGGCAGTAACAACAATAAAGGAGGAGTGGGTGAATGAAAAAAAAAAAAAAAAAAAAAAGGGCTAAGTTTAATCTAATTTTAGAATTTGTTTCAAAAATAAATAAATAAAAACTTCTCATTTCAATATGGTTTTATCTTTCCAAGGGCCAAAAAATTTTAAAATTTAAAAATATTTTTTTAATATTTATTTTTGTCGAATTAATTTATAATTTCCTCACAAAATTTTCAAAAAAATTGATTCAAACATTGAAACTAAACATAACCTTAGGGTTTTAAAATTGAAAATGAGGGTAATATTGGAATATAGAGATGTATATTAAGAATTTATATTTTTATAATGTGTGCATTGAGAATGTGTTGATTAAATGTGTGTACAGAGAGGAATTAATATGTGGAATTAGAATTATTCGACTTTTTTGGTTAAAATAGTCAATAAAGACAAAATATGTTAAAATAATCAATAAAACAAAATGTCATATTTAAACTATAATTATTTTATTTTTTTTTCCACAGTCATCAAATTAACTACTACTAAAAAAAAAAAAAAAAAACCAACTATTATGACAAATATAATTTTTTTAATCAGGTTAAAATAGTCAAAAACTTAAAAAACCAATTAAAATAGTCAAGTTATCAAACGATCACATTGTGATCTATTCCTTGGACAAATCTTCAGTGACATCAATTCAACACTCACTTTGGCTATCAAGGGATGTGAAAGAAGAAAAAAAAGGGAGATAAAATGTTTAAAACCTGAAACAATCCCAAATAACTACAAGAATGAAAAATTTCTTAAATTTTCCTCTAGTTTCCTTTAGAGATGAAGTCAGAAAACAAGAAAAAGGGAAGAAAAATCATTTAAAAAATGATTATTACTTACTAAAGATTATGAAAATTTAGTAAGAAAAAACTATAAATCAGTCTTTTCATAATAGTTCTCTCAATTATTTCATACAAATTTTTGGCTATATCATTAGGTCCTTAATGTATAATTTAATAGACTGTCATTTTATAGCATTTTAGGGTCAAAAAAAAAAATTAAAAACTTAAGGTGCCATTTTATATGCATTGTAAAAAATACTCCTAAATTACATGAATAATAGAACACTTTTGACAATTTTAGGGCATCCTTATGCCCTTGCCCTGTCCCAGCTTTGGCCAAGATCTCCATGTTAATCAAAGGAGAAAAGTTTTGGAAAACAAATATCAACTCATAAAATGCCCAGAAAACTATGCTGACAGCAGTACAATAATCCTGATTGGAGCTCGGACTTCACCAAAATGAATACAATATTACCATACAATCGTGTTACATACTCAGAAACTTTACTTATAATTTTACCCACAATTAAAATACGTTGACAACATTCATTTTGTATATGGTCCACAAAACGTTAACTTTAAATCCATACTATACGCTTCACTTTTATAGTAAAATTCTCGTTAAGTTTTCATATTACCAAAAATTATTATTATCAAAAGATCCTTTCTTCTTTTCTTGTTGCTTTCCAAGAAGCTCTGCTTCATTGTTAACCACCATTGTTGTTTCACCCGTTGTTTCCAAATCATCTTCTTAAATACACACTGTTCACATATCTGTTGATTTCTACCACTGTTCTTGGTTTGACATACTTGTGCAATCTTTTTGTCTTGATTTCCTGATAGCTTCATCGCCATTTTTTATTACGAATTACATTCTTGTTTCTGTTTTCTGTGTCTTTTCCCAGATTTTTTCTTTTAATCCTTGCTTTCAAAACTCCGAGGTGCCAATCGCCAAGAAGAGCTTTGATCAAACTCTTCAGGAGGTTGATGCTGAGCTCGTGGCTGAGAAGGCTGCTGAGAAGTTCTTTCCAACTGTCTTTTGGGGGTGAGACACAACCTACCGCTGATGCCAAGTAGTTTGCTTCCTTCTTGAAATTGATGCCGAGGTAGCGGTAGAGAACTTCCTCCAACTGACTGCCGAGGCCGAACCATTGTCGTCCATCGAAGCAGATTAGCCCAACGTTCTTGCTTTCAGTCCCTAGTTCTTTAAGGTCTTCATTTTTGTACTTGCCAACCTTCTCAGCTCTTAACAAGCTAGTTGGTCATCTCGGTTGATCATATCTCGGAAACGTCTTTTAGTGTTATCTCAGCTATACCAAACTTGTAAATTGCTACAAATTTCAACAAGTGGCAGACTTCATAATCTTCGGTTAACTCATCTTGTAATTTGCTCAAAAATTTCAACAAGTGTTAACATTCCTTGGTCCTTAATTATCATTCCTTCTTCCACTGTATTTGATAGCCATGTCGGGTAATTGACTTCTCGGATGGCCCTGAGCTCCAAAAGTCTGTCTACTTCTCTACTGCTTCGACGTGCATCAACGTCGGTTCTCTTGCTCGTTGGATTACAGGTTTGGCCGACCTGTCGACGTTCAGTTGGTGGCAAGTGACCTCGGGGTCAATGCTAGGCATTTCGTAAGGTGTCCAAGCAAATACCCCAATGTTTGCTCTCAAAAAAGCTTCCAATTTCCTTTCTTTTTCTTCGGCTAAGCCTAAGCCGAGAAGAAAGTAGCGTTCTTCATCCCCCTCCTGGACGACGATTTTCCTCAGTGCCTTTTCACTCTTCTCGGCTGGCTCCTTGCCGATATCATCTAGGACCTCTATGTCCTCGTTTTCAATCTCCATGAATTCTGTTTTGATCTTCTTCTATCTGCTCTTGCATGATTCTATACTTAGAATATTTTGCATGCCATTCATACTTTGCCTCCTTTGTGCAATCTTCTCGGGGTTACATACCTCGAGTATAATAGCTACAAAAACTTTTACTTCGGCAAGATACTGACCTGTAAACTTTTCATAAATTCTAACAAGTGTGAAACACATACTACTCAATGTTAACTTTGCAAACTTTTTCTCAAGTTTCAACAAGTGTTTTAACAAGGATTAACATATACTGTAACAGGGATCAACAAGGATTAACGTAACAAGTGTTAAACAATAATCTATTTGTAAATTGCTACGAATTTCAACAAGTATTTAAACAACATACTTAGCTTTTTCCTCAGCCTGTAAATTGCTGCAAATTTCAACAGATGATCATATGTCGGCTTAACGTTATCTTGTAAATTGCTACAAATTTCAACAAGTGTTAAGCATCTTCTTTGGTTGGACCAACCTGTAGATTGCTATAAGTGTGCAAATTATAACCTCGGCTTCACTTCGACTTGTAAATTACTACAAATTTCAACAAGTGAAAAGAAACAGTCATCTGGGCTTAACTTCAACTTGTAAATTGCTACAAATTTCAACAAGTGAAGACAAGGAATAATCTCAGCTTAACTTTAACTTGTAAATTGCTACAAATTTCAACAAGTGAAGATAAGAAACCAGCTTAACTCTAACTTGTAAATTGCTACAAATTTCAACAAGTGAAGATAAGGAACCAGCTTAACTCCAACTTGTAAATTGCTACAAATTTCAACAAGTGAAGATAAGGAACTAGCTCAGCTTAACTTCAACTTGTAAATTACTACAAATTTCAACAAGTGAAGATAAGGAATCAGCTTAACTCCAACTTGTAAATTGCTACAAATTTCAACAAGTGTTAAACGCATTCTTCTTCTCTCTGCCCCCCCAGTGTGAACTTAAAATCCACTTAGGTTCTCATCATACATGTAGCTTCGACCTTGTCGCCGAGGTTTAATTCAAGCCGAGGTTGTCAACCTTGGTTTCTCTATTGATCTTACTTGTCTCCAACCTGAGTTTGATTTTCGGCCTCGCATCGGCGAGCCGTTTCTCTTTTCTTGTTCCGACGCCTTTGGTCCCGGCATGTCCTCCTCGGCCCTAGTATACTTCTCAATTTTGGCCAACTTTAGTCTGATCTTGTGTGTTTCCTTTTTATCTTTTGGGATCTGAGATCTGCTCATTGTGCTCTTCTTTTCTCGGACTCAGGTGCCGAGATCTTATCTTTTGGAATCTTGGATCTGCTCACTCAGGTTGAGCTATTCTTTTCTCGGATCTACTCATCTAGGCCGAGATCATGTCTTCTAGGATCCGGGATCTGGAATCCGGGATCTGCTCACTTAGGTTGAGCTCTCGTCTTCTCGGGCCTACTTGACTAGGCTGAGATCATGTCTTCTCAGATCCAGGATCCAGGATCTGGAATCCGGGATCTACTCACTCAGGATGAGTTCTTCTATACTTGAATGTTATCTCCTTGGGAGCGCTCATGCCCCCTGTCTTTGCATCCCTTCTAGAAGGGTCTTCGTTCTTTCGCAGGTATCTATCCTCCCATACCTGGAGGTCATCTTCGTTGTAGTATCCGCTTCGATTTATTGTCTTTGATACGTTACCTTCCTGGCCGGCGTCTTTCACTCCGTGACTCTGGTCACGAATTTCTGTGTTGCGATCGTCTCCTTCAATGTTGAGATCGATAGGTCTCTCACTCCCAACAGGAGCATTGTCTCTAATCTGATCCTTCTGTCCGTCATTGGCCATCTATTCTTCTTTCTTTCCCACAGACGGCGCCAAATTGTGTGGGTGATTTTCCGACCACACTGCCCGCTTAGTAACCAGCTGGAGAGCACTAGCAGAATAGATGGCACCTGACTGACCTGCAACAGAAATATAAGAATCCCGCGGTGGTTTCGACCATCCGGGGGCACTCCGATCAAGTCAGTATATCTCTCAAAGATAAATCAAGTACTAAACTCACAAGCTTGAGTATCAAAAGCATACCTCAGACCCATGGGGGTGCCTCTCTTTTATAGCCAATACAATCCTAGTCCCAATAGGAGCCTGGCCCTAATGGACTTAGGATTACTGCTAATCTGGGACTCCCAGTGGGATTAGAATAAACTCTCTAAGAGTCTTATCTTTACCCAAACTGAAGTCTTCTCCCAATCTAGGACTCTTGTCCATATCCAAGTTGAGTTCCCTCTTCATTCTAGGACTCTTGTCCTTTATCCGCTTATCTCGGATTCCGATATCTTCGGAGATAACCTCGGCCTTGCCGAGATCACCTCGGCGTCACGATCAGGACACGTGGCACCTCGGCTGACACGTCGGCGTCACCTTGCCACGTGTTGGTACTCAGAAAATATATCCCCACAGCTACATATAATTGAGCATTTTGCATCTTGCAAATAGTTCTGCAAATAATTGAGCATCTTGCATTTATTTGAATGCATCTTGTAGAACTATTTTGAAGGGGATGAGAAAGAGGGATAAAAGACTGCGTTTTGAAGAGAGGAGAGAGAGAACAATTATCACAGCTTTCTTGGGTCTGGTCTGAGAGAGATAGAGAGGAGAGAGAAAAACATGCGCGTGTTTGATTTTGGAGAGAGAATGGTTGCCAATGCCTTCTATCAAATTTGGGCGATTTGAGCCTCAAATTTTGAGCTACCAATCTTTTTTATTTATTTATTTATTTATTCATATTTTTTGGTACCATATTTAATTTCAGTTTGATAACTCCAAACTTTTTGGCATAGAGTAAATTGTGTTATGAAATGGGGGTATTTGAAAAGTCAGGGTGGTGGCTTTTTTGGGTAATTCTATTTCTACACCAATTTTTCTCAGTTTACACACGTAATGAAAATTTTCATTAATACAATTTTGTTCTAGAATAAAAATACTTTAATACCGTCATCTTATTCTACTCAAACCATAATTCTAAAATATCACAATCATTTTCTATCGCCAACGCTACCTCTCTCATCTGCCATCCCCTTCCATTGCCTCTTTTCCTTTTCGCCTGCGATTGCTTTCCGCCATGAACCATACACTCCCACAAGTCTTCTACTGCGAATCACTTAAGGTTGATTGTAGAGGTCTAGGATGGAGGGAGATGAGCTAGAGTGGTGGCGATGGTGGCGATGGAGGGTTGAAAGTGGCAGCAACAACAATAAAGGAGGAGTGGGTGAATGGAAAAAAAAAAAAAAGGGGCTAAGTTTAATTTAATTTTAGAATATGTTTCAAAAATAAATAAATAAAAACTTCTCATTTCAATATGGTTTTATCTTTCTAAGGGCCCAAAAATTTTAAAATTTAAAAATATTTTTTTGAGATTTATTTTTGTCAAATTAATTTATAATTTCCTCACAAAATTTTCAAAAAAATTGATTCAAACATTAAAACTAAACATAACCTTAGGGTTTTAAAATTGAAATTGAGGGTAATATTGGAATATAGAGATGTATACTAAGAATTTATATTTTTATAATGTGTGCATTGAGAAGGTGTTGATTAAATGTGTGTACAGAGAGGAATTAATAGTGGAATTAGAATTATCCGACTTTTTTGGCTAAAATAGTCAATAAACAAAATGTCACATTTAAACTATAATTATTTCATTTTCTTTTCACAGTCATCAAATTAACTACAAAAAAAAAAAATCAACTATCATCACAAATATAATTTTTTTAATCAAGTTAAAATAACCAAAAACTTAAAAAATCAATTAAAATAGTCAAGTTATCAAACGATCACATTGTGATCTATTCCTTGGATAAATCTTCAGTGGCATCAATTCAACACTCACTTTGGCTATCAAGGGATGTGAAAGAAGAAAAAAAAAAAGAGATACAATGTTTAAAACCTGAAACAATCCCAAATAACTACAAGAATGAAAATTTTCTTAAATTTTCCTCTAGTTTCCTTTAGAGGTGAAGTCAGAAAACAAGAAAAAGGGAAGAAAAATCATTTAAAAAATGATTATTATACTTACTAAAGATTATGAAAATTTAGTAAAAAAAAACAATAAATCAGTCTTTTCATAATAGTTCTCTCAATTATTTCATACAAATTTTTGGCTATATAATTAGGTCCTTAATGTATAATTTAATAGACTGTCATTTTATAGCATTTTAGGGTCAAAAAAAAAAAAAATTAAAAACTTAAGGTGCCATTTTATATGCATTGTAAAAAATACTCCTAAATTACATGAATAATAGAACACTTTTGACAATTTTAGGGCATCCTTATGCCCTTGCCCTGTCCCAGCTTTGGCCAAGATCTCCATGTTAATCAAAGGAGAAAAGTTTTGGAAAACAAATATCAACTCATAAAATGCCCAGAAAACTATGCTGACAGCAGTACAATAATCCTGATTGGAGCTCAGACTTCACCAAAATGAATACAATGTTACCATACAATCGTGTTACATACTCAGAAACTTTACTTATAATTTTACCCACAATTAAAATACGTTGACAACATTCATTTTGTATATGGTCCACAAAACGTTAACTTTAAATCCATACTATACGCTTCACTTTTATAGTAAAATTCTCGTTAAGTTTTCATATTACCAAAAATTATTATTATCAAAAGATCCTTTCTTCTTGCTTTAGAAAACAAGGGTTGAAATTGCTTTTATTTTTGGGGTTGGAATGATGGTAGGGAGGTGTTGAGAGAGATGTTTCCACACTTCAAAAAGATAGCACTAATAGTGGAAAGCATTATAAGCCAATGCTTGGGACTTCCACCAAACTTCCTCAGAGACTACAACAACATCAGAACTTGGGATGTCATGGCTGCTCTTCACTACACCCCTGCAACTGATGGTGATGGCAACGTTAGCGGACAAAGCGAACACAAAGACTCCAACTGCATCAGTTTTGTGTACCAAGATGATGTGGGTGGCCTTGAAGTGAACAAGGATGGGAAATGGATTCCAATCACTCCCAACGAGGGCACACTCGTCGTCAACATTGGTGATGTTATTCAGGTATAATTGATTTTGATTTGATTTCTGCATTGTAAAGCCATTTTCAATTCAAAATAGTAATCGCTGAAAAAGAAAAAAAAAATGAAGAAATGATCACACACACAATCACAACAAGATTGGAGGGAATGAGCAATGATGTTTAGAAAAGCATTTACGTGGGACATGAATCGGTATTAAATTAATCACAGTATAATGGTATCAAGAGCATTAATTAACCAATTTAAGAATGGATTATGAACCGATATGAATAGTGAACTCGATAATATGTCAGCAATTTTAGTTGTCACTAGTACACCAGGTTGCTTCAATATTGGGAAAACAAAAAAAAAAATTGATACGTGTTGGTCAATATTTAAACATGTAAGGTTAATTTAGAGAAGTTTCCGATTCATCATGGCTATGATTGTTGCGACATTTTTTTTCCAAATTGGTAGAAGAATATTTTCCATATAAGTTGAAAATTATATCTGAACAATCAATCATAGTCCAACAACTATAGAAGCCTTAGAGCATCTCCATCAAATTAGTTTAAATTTTGTTAGATTTAGACTTGAAAGTTACTTTTTATATTTTGGCTATACACTTCTTTAAATACATTGTCCAATAAACTCTAATTTTTTCTATATCATTTAAATATTTTTTTTATTCATTTTCATTTAGAATTATTTTTTATAAACTCAACACAATTAATTTCAAAATATAAAAAGTAATATTTTTTAATGTTTGACTAGGTGAAACCATTAGTTACATTTGTTCAGCCAAAACCATCAAAATTAAAATAACTAACTTGATGTGTAGTTTGATGAAAGTGAAATTTAGTGATTTACTTACTATTTTAGCTAAACAATAAAAATAATTAGTACGTATAGTTTAACTATAAAGTCTACGTCTACGAGTGAAGAACCTAATAAGAATTTCTTGATATTACAAAATCTCTTAAGACGAGTAAACCTTAGAATCTTAAAATAATGTAACATATATATATATATAATGATCTAACTAATATGAACGTGGATCAAAATAGACCCAGATATTATTACCATGCTGGGTCTAGTGGGTCATATAGATTGCCAATGGATAATAAGCACAATTCAAGTTGAATTTAAGACATAAACAATTGCAAATATATAATATTGTAAAAGCTTGATGTTACTTAGAAATTGAGCAAAACTTTTAATATATGTGACATTTATTTCATTCTCTCATACTTGTAATTGCATGTTGAGAAGGTATTAAGCAATGACAAATTCAAAAGTGCAACACATAGGGTGGTGAGACCAATTGGGAAAAGTCGAAATTCTTATGCATTCTTCTACAATGTGGATGGAGAGAAGTGGGTTGAGCCATTACCACAGTTCACTGAAGCAGTAGGAGAACCACCAAAGTACAGAGGGTTCTTCTACAAGGAGTATGCTCTACTCAGACTCAAGAACAGGGAAGAACCACCTGCTAGAGTTGAAGACATGATCAACTTAAACTACTATGCTATCCCTACCTTAAAAAATGGATAGTTTTGTGTTTGAAAGGATCCTGTGTCTCCAAATCTCGCCATGTTCTCTGTCCCTAGATGTTCATAATCAATAAATTATTGAAAATCGATAATCTCAAGACATGATCTAATAGACGTGAGTTTTTAGGACAGAGGGACAGAAAGATTTGCAGATGGAGGATCTCGTATGTCCCGTTGTAAGATTTGTTTATCTTGGTTCATATAATGCCAATGTTAAAATATGTTCTATTTGGTTCATGTAATGCTTAAATAAGACGTTGAGAAAATAGTGTGTTTGATAGTTATAAGACTTTGTTTGTTTTGGTTCATCTTTTAGGCTCAAAAATGTTAAATTATCCACTCTCAAAATGAGGTGCAAGTCTATTGTGGTTTCTCATTGATAGGGAATACCACGAGTGTAAATTTATTTACACACTTTTATAGTGTGTGAACATTATACTTTATTCTGATTAATTGTTCATGAAGGTAAATGCGAGACCATCTTATTTAACCACCATTCAAAGAACGTATATATTATTCACCTTGAATGAATAAATTTGCACTCAGAACACCAGACAGATAGGGGCAAATTTAGGATTCAATTAGTGGGGTAGCCTACTCAACCACTAGAGCCTCTCTTAAAGGTCTTCCGCCAGCAAATTGGGTTTTCCATCCCCCTACTGCCTTAAGAAGTGTCATGTATTTTGCTCTGTAATTCTAATTTTCTCTGTTCCAAACCAAACCAAAAAAAAAAAAAGAAAAAAAAGAAAAAAAAAGGGGGGGCTGAAAGGAAGATAAGGAGAAAGTCTCATTGGGCAGTAAATTGAGCCAATAATATCTATGCGAGATCATCGATTGTTTTAACTTAGGCATGGTTATCCTTTTTTTTCAATCTCACATATAATTATTTGAATTAATGTATTTCAAGCTTATAATATTTTAAAAGTTGTCCATTTAAAAATTTGTTAGAAACGACAAAAGATCAAATTTCATTGCTTTTAATTAAAGATATTTTTTTTAATATGATTTGATGCCTCATCAAATAAACTATTTTCCTAGTTAGCTGGACAATTTCAGTTGGTTATTCCTATATACTCTTGTTTGAAAAGTCATGAATCATTTATTATCAAAAACAAAGATTGATTACTTCTTCCCCTTACAGGAGTTTTATTGAATTATTTATTTTTTTCATTATGGGGTTTTATTGAATTATTTATTTTTTTCATTATGGATCTTCACTTCGTTGTCTCTACAAGCCACCTCCTTCCTTCTAATCTCTCACATAGATAATAAGAGATGGTACTTTTTCGAGAACATTTAATATGTTTTTTTTCTCAATAGTGATTAGAGAGATGAAATGATGGTGATGTCAATAACACAAATATTGGAGCATGGTTCTCAAATTTAAACATTTTTGTAAACATAGTTAACATTTGGGAAGGGCATGCCAAAGTGTAAAGTTTAGCATTGATCTAGGTTGATGAAACATGTTATCTAACAGTTTCATTCAATTGATGTTTCAAGTTTAAGGTTATGCATTGCCATATAATAGGGCTGAGCAAGAAATTCATAAAATCCGTAATCCGATCCAGTCCAGTCCAATCCAGTAAGCTTGGATTGATTTTTTGAATTCGTGGTTTAGTTCTGGATTGAAAAATTAAAAATCCGTAGTTCACGGATTGGTTCCGGATTGAACCCCACGGTTCCGGATTGGAACCGATCCGGACCGTATAAAAATAGTCTATATTTTTATTATACACCCTCATGCATAGTATCTTCCCTTATTTCATATAAACTTAAATCCAAACCTAAACTTGCATAGTATCTTCTTTTATTACTTTTGTTTGCTAGTTTTTAGTGTTTATTTGTAATGATCTAAATACTTATGATGGAACTAATTTTCTTATGGTTGTTTAAATTCTAGAACAATTTGTCCCTATTACGAAAAAACATGTTGCTATTGTGAAACTAATATGATTCTATATTATATTTTTATGAAATTAAAGTGCTATACATATATTTTTTGTTATTTAATTATGTAAATCCGTGATCCTAAACCGATCCAATCCGTGTTTAAATGGATTGGTTTGGATTGGTTCCACGATTTAAACGGATTGGATTGGTTCTAATTTTTCAGAATCCGCAGATAACGAATTGGTCCTGATTTTACTCCAATCCGATCCAATCCATACCATGTTCACCCCTACCATATAAATAGTCAGCTGGGTTTCTAGATTTTAAAAAGGCCCAACATATAGAGGAGGATGGACAGCCCACTAACTTGGGTTTCTAGTTTTTCACAAAAGCCTAACACACAGAGGAGGATGGACAGCCCAGTAAACTCAAGAAGGGTCCACCATCTTACCACATGTCTACAAAATCCCACCTTATTAGGTTTTGTTTTGGAATTAATTTTTTTAATGATTTTTTATTTTTTTAAACTTTTTTTATATATGTAGGAAAACTTTTTTTAGTTTTATTGAAAATCGTAAATTATTAACATGTTTACTTTTTTTAATAATTTTTACACTTTTTTAATGACCTATTTATTTTAAAATATCTAATTAAGTTCTTAATCAACGTGAAAAAGAAGAAAATAATAATGATAGAGAAACTAATTGAGAATAATAATTAAACCAATCTAAATCATGGTTTAACAAAATAATAATTAATAAATAAAATCAAAGATTACGAAGAAAACATTACAAGAAGAGTTGGATAACAATTTCAATTAATCCATTGTGTTTTCTATGGTCAAGTTTGAATACCTAATGCGAATAATGTTTGAAAAGGGGGGTAAATAAAATAACATAATCATTAGTTATTGGAACTTAAAAAATTAAATGAAAGTTTAAGGAAATGATAAATTACCAATATACCTTTGAGATTTGCTTAAAATATGACTTATTTTTTGTAATTTTAGAAATTAAGTTATGCTTCAAAGTTTTAAACGTATAAATAATAATATCTTTTTTTAATAAATTATTATGTCAATTAAAAATTTTTAATGATGTCATATATATATATATATATATATATTTGAATTAACAATTATGATAATTTTATTGTTGTATAGAACAATAATTAATAATTTTATTTTTTTGTATGAATTATGTTAAATAAAAAAATTCTGATAAAAGGTATTTGTAATTTTCAAAACTATAAGAGTAATTCTTATTTTAAATAAATTTTAAGAGACATATTTATAATTTACTGTTAAACAAAATTAAATTGAAAAGGAAACCTCTTTTCTTTTGTTTTGTTTATTTTTAATTTTTACAAGGAAAATAAAGACTTGTTTGGTTGAAAATGAAAAATGTTAAAAATCTCAAATGTTTTATCAAATATCTCACATGATTATGAAACACGTATAATGTAAATCACATATAGACCGCACATACATATAAAGCATTTGATAGAACATTTAATAAAATATTTTAAAATATCTGACCTTACTTGTTGAAAATTAAAATTAGTCCTAGGAATTCACTTATGTTGTGTTTGGTTGGAGGAATTTGAAAAGAGAAAGAGAAAATGTGTATGAAATTAGGTGAAATATAGGTATATTTTATTTAATTTTTTTCTTTTTCTTTTTAAATCCCTTTTCAAATCTCTCAACCAAACACAACATTAAACAGCAACCTAAATTCATTTATGGAAAGATAGCTCTGTTTCCCGTGATTGTCATTTCATGCTTACTTGGTACGATCTGATTGGATTTCTTTAAGTTTTGTTTGGATAAGGTGAGGTCATACGTTGGGTTTTTCAATTTTGCAATTAGTTTCCAAAGAAAAACAAACACTATCAAAAAGTAAGAGAAAATGACTTCCGACCGTGCTCTGATAGTTGCACACCCTTTGGAGTATCTTATGCCCGTTTATCACATTTCCTTTATTGCACAAAAAAAAAATAAATAAATAAATAAATAAATAAAATAAAATAAAATTCACAACAAAACAAAAAATAAAAATAAAAGTGTATTTAAATGGGAGTAAGATGATCTGGTGTAAGCTTTCAAGTTATATTTAGCAAAGGTTTTAAATTCTTGCAAAAGAGAACAACTAGTGAAAGCTATCCAACTGAAAGAATTTTGACGATTAAATCAGTAAACATACTTTTTTACGAGAATATGAAGAGGAATTCAATTTTGGTTCTTGAAATTGTTCCTATCCATTTCCTTATCTAATATTCCCCTTTATACAGTTGAGTGTCATTATTTGATTGTTATTCCTCCTGAAATATTTTTCTTGAAAATAACCTAGCCATTATTTTGGCATTCGCTAAAATGTCAATCTGTCTAATTGGCTAAAAGACTGTCAATTTCCTCTCTTTTGATTTTATCTCCGACGTCCTTTAGTTGAGGACTCTATTTTAGGAAATACTTTTAACTTTTTTTTTCAATTTTTCAAAAACCATTTTCATATATATAAAAAAAAAAATCTGAAAACAATAAGTTTTTGTAAATTTTTTATCATTTCTACCTTCAAAAATATGAAAGAAAAAAGAAATTAAATGAAAAGGGATACCAAAACAGATATTGCTCTTAGAAAAAGGGGCAATGATTGGTGGCCACAAATTTTGTGGTTCAAATGGTCCGAAAATGTCAAAACGACGTCGTTTTGAGTACAAAACAATTCCGAAAATGTTAAAACGACGTCGTTTTAACATTGTCGGACTATTTAAACCACAGAATTTGTGACTACCAAATATTTTCCTAGAAAAAGCGGATGAGGTCACTGAAAGTTTGGGAAGATACAAAGATACCCTTTAAAAAGCCAAGTAGTGGTATACTAAGTTATCTGCAATTATCCTTTTTTTTTTTTATATTTAAATGTTTTTGAGTGGAACAGTAAGTAGCCCAATAGAAAGTAGGAGACAAAGTGTATATAAATCTTGCTTTTCCCTGAAAGGACAAGATCTGTTCTCATTCTTTTATCAAAAGAAGCCTTACCCTCTAATCTCATCAGCTCTCTTTTTGGCAATGGAAAATTTTTTTAAAATAAAATTATATAAAAAGTATTTGCAATTCTCTGGACCTCTCAAAGTCATTTGAGTGGGGAAAAATTAAAAAATAAAAATAAAAGAAAATAAAAGAAATAATCATCCTGTAGCTTAGTTTTTGGAATGTGTTTTCTAGAGTTGTTGTTTTTTTTTTTTAAATAGAAATTAGTTTGACTAAAATAAATATTATAACAATATTTACAAATTTACAAAATTATTTTGATAGCAAAAATGAAAAATTTATGAAAATGATGA